GTGGGTTCCACCTTAACATAAGGACAGCAGTGGCATAAGGACCCTCTACTTTAATGCAAAGTGAGGATACATGAGTTCTATAGTGACATAAGCACAGTACTGGCATTTAAATTTAAACACAATAACCAAGAACTCTGTTTTAAATCAAAATCAAAGGAATATGGGTTCCATAGTGACATAAGGAGAGTAGTGGCATTTATGCACATTAACTGCTCCAAAAACCCCTTGTTTTAATGCAAAGTGAGGATGAGTGGGTTCCACACTAAAAGGCAGTAGTGCATTTAAGCACATTAACTGCCCCAAGGACTCGGTTTTAAATCCAAGTCAAAGTGAGAATAGGTTCTATAGTGACATAAGGACAGCAGTGGCATTTATGCACATTAACTGCTCCAAAAAACCCCTTGTTTTATTGCAGAGAGAGGAGAGGGGGGTTTCCACACTAATAGGGGAGAAATGCGTGTTATGAACATTAACTAGCCTCCAGGACACGCGTTGTGTTTCCTAGTCAGAGTGAGAATAGGTTCTATAGTACATGAAGATGGCAGTGGCAATTGCGAATTTAAGAACATTAACCTGGCCTCAAGGGCCTTGTTTTAATGCAAAGTAGGAATGGGGTGGGTGTCATTATTACCTAAGGACAAGTGGGGGATTTTAAACACATTAACTGCCCCCAAGCCCCCTCTTTTTTATACAAGTGAGGAATTGGTTCTAGAGGGACATAAGCACTGTAGTTGCATTTAAGCGCTTCACCCTCCACCAAAGTCGTCTGTTTTAATGCAAAAGTGAGGATGGATGGGTCCTATAGTGACAAAGAACAGTGGTATCATTTAAGCACATTCATTTAAACAGGACCCTCTGTTTTAATGCAAAGTGAGGATGAGTAGGTTCCACCTTAACACAAGGACAGCAGTGGCATAAGGACCCTCTACTTTAATGTAAAGTGAGGATACATGAGTTCTATAGTGACTTAAGCACAGTACTGGCATTTAAATTTAAGCACATTAACTACCAAGAACTCTGTTTTAAATCAAAATCAAAGTGAGTATGGGTTCCATAGTGATATAAGGAGAGTAGTGGCATTTATGCACATTAACTGCTCCCAAAACCCCTTGCTTTAATGCAAAGTGAGGATGAGTGGGTTCCACACTAAAAGGCAGTAGTGCATTTAAGCACATTAACTGCCCCAAGGACTCGATTTTAAATCCAAGTCAAAGTGAGAATAGGTTCCATAGTGACATAAGGATGGCAGTGCAATTTAAGCACATTAACTGCCTCAAGGACCCTGTTTTAATGCAAAGTGAGGATGGGTGGGTTCCACACTAAAAGGCAGTAGTGCATTTAAGCACATTAACTGCCCCAAGGACTCAGTTTTAAATCAAAATCAAGGTAAGAATAGGTTTTATAGTAACATAAGGATGGCAGTGCAATTTAAGCACATTAACTGCCTCAAGGACCCTGTTTTAATGCAAAGTGAGGCTATGGGTTCTAGAGTGACATAAGCACAGTAGTTGCATTTAAGTACATCAACCTCCCCAAAGACCATCTGCTTTAATGCAAAGTGAGGATAGATGGATCCTATAGTGACATAGCACAGTGGGTGCATTTAAGCACATTAACTGGTCCAAGGACTCGGTTTTAAATCCAAGTCAAAGTGAGAACAGGTTCTATAGTAACATAAGGACAGCAGTGCAATTTAAAGACATTAACTGCCCCAAGGACCCCTGTTTCAATGCAAAGTGAGGATAGATGAGTCATATAGTGACCTAGCACAGTGGTTGTATTTAAGCATATTAACTGCTTCAAGGACCCCTTGTTTTAATGCAAAGTGAGGATGAGTGGGTTCCACACTAATCCCTAAACACAGTAGTAGCATTTAAGTACATTATTTGCCTCCAGGACTGTTTAAATGCAAAGTGAGAATATGTGAGTTCCAGCTTAACATAAAGACAGCAATGGCATTTAAGTACATTAACTGCCCTCAGGACCACGTTGTAATGCATAGTGAAAGTGAGTGGGTTCCATACTAAAAGGCCATAGTGGCATTTGAATACATTAACTGCCCCAAGGACTGTTTTAATCAAAATCGAAGTGTGAATGGGTTCTATAGTGACATAAGAACAGTAGTGGCATTTAAGCACATTAACTGCCCCAAGGACCTCATTTTAAAGCAAAGTGAGGCTATGTGGGTCCTATAGTGACATAAGCACAGTAGTTGCATTTAAGCACAATAACTGCCTCAAGGACTTTGTTTGAAATCAAAATCAAAATCAGTATGGGTTCTATAGTGACATAAGAACAGTTGTGGCATTTAAGCACATTAACTGCCTCTAGGACTGTTTTAATGCAAATTGAGGATATGTGAGTTCCACCTTAACATAAGGACAGCAGTGACATTTAAGCACATTAACTGCCCCTCCCCACTCTCTGCTTTAAATGCAACGTGCAGATGAGTGGGTTCCACACTAAAAGGCAGTAGTGGCATTTAAATGCATTAACTGCCCCCAGGGAACCTGTTTTAATGCAATGTGAGGAGATATGGGTTGTAGAGTGACATAAGCACAGTAGTTACATTTAAGCACATCAACTGCACTGAGCACCCTGTTTTAATTCAAAGTGAGTATGGGTGGGTTGCAAAGACAGATAAGAACAGTAGTAGCATTTAAGCACATTAACTGCCTCTAGGGACTGTTTTAATGCAAAATGAGGATGGGTGGATTCCACATTAACATAATGGCCAGAGGCATTTATACACATTAATTGCCCCAAGCACTCTGTTTTAAATCAAAATCAAAGTATGGGTTCTAGTGTGACATAAGAACAGTACTGGCATTTATGCACACTAACTGCCCCAAAGACCCCCTGTTTTAATGTAAAGTGAGGATAGATGGATCCTATAGTGACATAAGCACAGTAGAGGCATTTAAACATTAACTGCCCCAAGGACCCTCTCTTAAGGCCAAGTGAGGATGGATGGGTTGCAATGTAAGATAAGGACAGTCGTTGCATTTAAGTACATTACCTACGGACTGTTTTAATGCAAAGTGAGGATGGGTGGGTTCTACCTTAACAGAAGGGCAGTAGTGGTATTTAAGCACATTAACTGCCCCTCCCCACCCTCTGCTTTAATGCAAAGTGAGGATGAGTGGGTTCCACAATAAAAGGCAGTAGTGGCATTTAAATACATTAACTGCCCCAAGGACTCTGTTTTAATGCAAAGTGAGGCTATGCGGGTTCTAGAGTAACATAAGCACAGTAGTTGCATTTAAGCACATGAACTGCCCCAAGGACCTTCTGTTTTAATGCAAAGTGAGGATAGATGGGTTCTAGTGACATACAGATGACACTAGTTGCATTTAAGTTCATTAATTGCCCCAGGACTGCTTTAATGCAAAGTGAGATTAGATGGGTTCTACAGTACCATAAGGACAGTAGTGCCATTTAAGTACATCAACTGCCCCTTGTACCCTCTTCTATTTTAATGCAAATTGAGGATGGGTGTAATCTATAGTAACAAAAAGATAGTAGTAGCAGTTAAGAACATTAACTGCCCCAAGGAGTCTGTTTTAATGCAAACTGAGGATCCCTGGGTTCCAAAGTAAGATAAGAACAGTAGTGGCATATAAGCACATTAACTGTCTGAAGAATCCTCTGTGGTAATGCAGTTAGGAAGGGGAAAGAGGTTAACAGAAGGGAGTTATTGGGGATTGTAATTTTGCACATGATTGCAAATGCAAGTATGGATAATATATTAACTAAAAAGAAGAACCCTTGAGTAATGGGACCACGTTATACCTACCAAATGAGATACCCTGGACCTTTTATTTTTTTTTAAATATATTTTATTGATTTTTTTACAGAGAGGATGGGTGAGGGACAGAGAGTTAGAAACATCGATCAGCTACCTCCTGCACACCTCCTACTGGGAATGTGCCCACAACCAAGGTACATGCCCTTGACCGGAATCGAACCTGGAACCCTTCAGTCCGCAGGCCGATGCTCTCCACTGAGCCAAACTGGTTAGGGCTACCCTGGACCTTTTAAATGGACAGTACTCCAGATAACTATGACTGTGCAAATTGTCCCAGAGCTGAGTTCTTGAACAATATTCACTCCAAGACAGTGTGATGGGGTAGGATTCCTTTTTGTTTTGTTTGTTTTGTTGGTTTTTTTTGCACAGGACTAAAAGATTTGGGTTTTTTCTGCGTCCACGAATAATACAAAGGTGTTTTGCCTGGAATATAATATGATGGGCAGAATTATGGATAATCAAAATTTCACTCAGTGCAAAGACTTTAGGTGGTCAGCACAGTATATGATTTAGGGAGCAGGGCTGAAGGGGATAGCTGGGGCCGGGGCTGGGGCTGGGGCTGGGGCTGGGGCTGGGGTTTGGGCAGGGCTGGCAGGTAAGGGGTAAGGGCTGGGGCTAGATGTAGGGGTTGTGAGAGCAGGGGTGGGGAGGAACTGGGGACTGTGGAGGCAGAGCACCACAATATTTATTATGTGTGCATTTAATACTCCAAGATAAGTTTGAATAGAGGAAACAAGTCCACAGCAATTCATGTTATCTGTCTGATAGGTTATACAGTCAATTAGTGCAGCATTAAAGATGGGAACAAAGCAAGGCCTGAAGTGGAATGGACCTTCAAATATTTTTTATATTCAGTCATAAAGTTAACTTTTTAATTAACTGTTTATGTGCAAGAAGACTTGAAAAGTCCAAACTGAAGTAGTTTATTAAGTCAATCTCAAAGTAAAAAAGATTAATGAAAAATGTTATCGCCAAATTATTTGACTTTGGATATGAATAAGTATGCCATTTTTATAAAAAAGAAATTGAAAACTTTAAGGGCCCCCAAAAGGAGCTTATTAAATTTAATTGAAGTGAAATCTACAAACAATGCCATAATAGTCATTTGAGGCTTAAATATCACCCTAGCAAACCACATAATTAAACTATTTATGGCTGACATCCAAGAAATAAGTAGAAATCAAAATCGAACCCCAGCATTAGCCACAGGGTAGGTGTTCCTCTTGAAGAAGGGAGGGATTCCTCTTCTGCCACCTGTTGGCCAAAGATCAATTTTGGTCCTTGCCACGACTCACCGCCATATTGAACTCACCGCCATATTTACACGTGGCAGGCATGGAGCCCTGGCCTGGCCCACCGGGCGGGAGAGCAAAAGGGGAGGGAGCCGGTTAGAGGGGAGGGAGCTGGAAAGGCCAAATGTCCTTGGAAAGACCTTGAGCACCGCCAACTGGGAGCAGATGTTATGTAAATGGCCCCTCAGCTTCTGCCTCCTGAAAAGATGGCAGCCAGGAGCCATGCTAGATTGGTCTAATTCCATACTCCATTAATTGGCTGCACCCAATTGTACCACCCCGTCTGATTGGGTGGGGCAGGCGGCAAAGATCACCCCACCTTTCACTTTTTGCAGCAAGCCGGAAGTGTGCGCCATATTTAACAATGCGGCAGCCCCACCAGGAGCAAAGCCCGCGCAAACACCAGGATGTCCTCAACCACAAGACAAGTCCGCCCTTATATGCCCCTGCGGCAAAACCTGTCCGGAAATGCTTGCTGCGAAGACAACGGCCCGCCATGACTGGTCCGGCAATGCCGCAAACACAAGAGTCCGCCATGTTTAACACTGCGTCAGGTCCTTGAGCCGCCATCTTACACCATGTAACAGAATATTTGCAACGCCATGCTGTGCATTAGAACAAAGACACTACCATGATGTGGCCTCCCGCTAAATTGGACCCGCCATCTTGGACACTAACAAAGCAGACAGCCATGCTGAGCAATACCGAAAGTCAAGCCGCCATTTTGGCCCCTCCCTATAAGTCTTCTCCATCTCATTTTCAACTAGCCTCCGGTAATGCGGCACAGGATAATCCTATTCTTCTACCTCAGGAGACCACAATGCATGCAAATTAGGTCATTCAAAATACTTAGCTCAGGCCTCTTGCCTCTCTAATTTATACCAAGCACAACCAACTACCATCAGCTGAGCTCCGAAGCAAACCTCGAGTCGTCCGCCGCCATAGCCGCCATTGCCGCCATTGCCGCCATATTTCCTCCCAGCCGAACGAACCCCTTAGCCTAACTGCAGTCATCTCCCAGCCAAAGCTGTAGGTTCACTCACACAACACCAAAGATTAGCAGCAAAAATTTGTAGACATTCCAGATAGTATAACGAACCACAGAAAACAACAAAATTTCGAGCGATTAAAAAAAAAAAATCTAAGCAGGTATCCGCGGCCCCGATGGGCAAGAAAAAAATTAAAGCAGGTATCCGAAGCCCCGATGGGCTATAAAAAGAAGAAAAAAAAAAAAAAGCAGGTATCCTAGGCCCCGGTGGGCCAGTGGTTTGGGGAAAAGGAGGACACAGCAGCTATCCGAGGCCCCGATGGGCTAAGGGGGGGAAAAAAATTAAAAGCAGGTATCCGCGGCCCCGATGGGCACATTTTTTAAAGTAAATAAATAAAATCAGGTATCCGCAACCCTGATGGGCAAAATATAGAAAAGTGGAGGAAATAGAGAACTAAATCATAAAACAGAGGACTCAACCAAAAATTGTTGCAAACAAAAATTTTTTCAAAATGAAAAATGTCATAAAAATATCCCAAATACCTAAAAAATATGGAGGTGTCAATAAAATGCTGGAAGAAAGTTTAGAATTTTCAAAATATTTTATAGAATTTTGGTGAATATTCTAAAAGAAATGCGCCATAAAGAGTGGTTGAGAGCTGGAAAATGTTCCAGAAAGAACCACATGGCTGAAGACATCTTCATTAGCAAGACTCCATTCCACCTCAGGAGAAGAAGAAATATGGCGGTGGCAGCAAATTGCAGGGCTTTAAAAAGCAAGGGGGTGGAGACTGGATGCAGAGGGAGTGGAAGAGGCGTGGCTTAAAAGATTGAAAGCTATACATCTTTGTGGTTTAGCTGGCTTAAAATTTAGAAAAAGGAGATTTCAAGAAAATAGCAACATATCTGAAAGTATACTAGACTGTAAATAGGCTTCATTTCTAGTCCAGGAACCATAACTTCAATGGGTCGCCATGGGTTATCTAAAATGGGGACCTTAAGTAAATAGAATTACTGATGCTAAAATTCTCCACAAACAACATAACAAAAGAAAACTATTTAGTCTAGTTTGGTTTTGAAAAGGGAGGAAGGGCAGGTAGAGCTTTGATATGTTAATAAAGTATCCAAATGTATATAACTCCCCCATCAAACTTTTGAACCAAAGAAGGTAGGAAGGATCTCCAAGGTCAGAACCTTCTTCAAGGGACTTTCTCTTCAATTATAAGTCAGATGGTGAGCAACAGAGAGAAAGGAAAAAAAGAAATTATTTGACCCCTAAATAATCATGGAGCACTATTTGTAACCTGTATCTCACAACTCCTAGAAAGTCAAAAGATACATTGCCCTACTACTGTCAACTGCAAAGTAATACTATCAGACAAGCATACCCTCCAGTCTCCAGATAAAAATGTATGCAAATTTTCATCCTTAAAAGGTACATTCCATGTTATATATGCTCTTTGTTCACACACAAAAAAGTAATCTGACTTATTCCAAATGAAGAATATTTTGTTACAAAAGTGATACCCTGGAGAAGACGATGCTTAACACAAAGATAATTTAATAGTAAGATTTCATTCTGAAAGATAATTTTCCATAGGAGCCTTCCTGAACACCCCCAAAATTAAACTATATAAGCAAAAGCCTACAAATAAGGACTACTATAAGATCTCACACTAATTTAAGTTTTCACAAAGTCCTATGAACTGAATGAGGGGGGCATTCGTTCATTGTATAGATTGGTACATTGAGATTGAGGGATGTTGACTTCTATTTGGTTTAAAAACTTAATAGCAACACGAGGATCCCAGGATAGAGATCCTTGGACTCAGATAACTTTGGTTGCACTTTAGTGAAATAACTCTGTTGATGAGACTACCTTGTGTGTCAGATCTCTCTAGTGAGAATTCTGGGATTTGTGTGGAGTTTAAAATTACTGTAATAATCATGGTATATTTGAATGGTACCTATGAAAGTTAGTAGCTACAACAACTTTGATATCACTCAGTCATCAGGAAAGAAAAGGATTATAAATAAGTAGTATTCCCTTAATACCTGAGATCTCAGCCTGGACTAACCGGGAGGACCTAGAAAGCAAACCAACTACCACCAGCAGCAATACTATCAGACCACCTGACAAATCTTAAACTCCTTCTCTATAGGCCATGAAATAATGGTATCACTAGGAATCTGACTCCACTACAGAATTTAACCTTTTCCAGCTTATTGTGTCTTTAACACAAGCTATCAATTGTTAAAGTAACTAGGTCTGTCAAATACAGCTCTGTCCAAAAACAATTTTCTACAATTGTGGAAATATCCCATATTTTTTTACCTTGACTTATGAAAATTTTCTTACCACTCAAAATGCATCAACTACAAAAAAATGACTTTAAACTAAAATATTTTGTTCCATAAAAACACCCTAAAAGGTGAAAAGACGAGCTATAAACTAATTGCCCTGGGGTTCAGCATCCAGGCCCTGGTTCTGGGAGAGTGATCAGGCTAGCAGACCATTTCCATTGATTGTCACAGTAATTTCTTTCATGAGATTCAGTGAGATTAAGCTGCCGAAATGGTGATCGTGATGATTTTGGGTGACTCTCGCTCACGTCGGACACAGGCTCTACCAGTGGTCAGCAAACTCATTAGTCAACATAGCCAAATATCAACAGTACAACGATTGAAATTTCTTTTGAGAGAAAAATTTTTTAAACTTAAACTATATAGGTAGGCACATTGCTATTAAGTTAATTAGAGTACTCCTAAGGCTCAAGGGGCCGAAGAACCGCATGTGGCTCCTGAGCCTCAGTTTGCCGACCATGGCGAGTCTAGGCTATCAAGGTCTACTGCAGATAACTAGGCTAAAAGAACTGCAGAGGCAAGAAAGCTATAGTTTTTAGATACAAACAGGTTCAAAAGACTAGTTGCATTGGAAGTAGCAACAGTGTTGCTACCTTTTATATTAGTCAGGTAGGGTTCATTTGACAAAAAACAAAACAAAACAAAACAAAAAACATGAAAACATAAACAAATATTTTTTGGACCTGAAAAGGGACATTATGAAGAATTTTCACATGAACTGCTGAATAAACAAATATGTAAGTACCTCTTCTGTGCCCTTTATTGCTAAATTACTATACCTTACATGAGCCCATGAATTTTATAATATATTTAAATCAGATTACTTAAATAAAAAGGGACTCCAAAAAATATTTGCCTAGTACCCTGCATCATACGTTGGAGCATCCCTGCTCTTTCCTGTCATTTATCACGTTCAGGCTTTACTTAACCCAAACGCATGACATATAGCAGGAACTATATGGGAGGAAGAAATCAAGTTCTCTTTTATTTTACTTACAGGTTGATAAATTTGTTAAACTATGCTTCCTCTCAAAAAAAAAAAAAAAGCAGAAATGACCTGATTTAACCACCAGATGGCAGCATGAAATCATCAAAGAAACAGCCAGCCTGCAGGGAAGGAGCCAAGATCATATAGGAAGAAAGCCCAATTAGGGTCTTAGTTGAAGGGGAAAATGCCTCATTTATACAGTTCAGTATCAGAAGAAAGAAATAGGGAAAAGTACTCAACTTCCTCTAATTTGAACACCCCCCACCCCTGTGGAAGTTTGACCTTGGCTTTGATGAATGCCATTTAAAGAGGGCTTTGATAAAGCATTCAAAAACAAATTAGCAGGCTAATGGGGGCCATTATCAGTGAAAAGCAGTTGAAGTAACAAAGACATATTACAGAAAAAGAATACTTGGGGAAGGGCTCTTTACAAACATAAGGACAGCTTGCAGTGGGAGAAAGAGCCTTATTGTGTGTAACTCGATATAAATATCTATATAAATAAGGGTGCCTGAATACTCTAAGTTGTCCAAAGATGGAACAGACTGCTTCCAAAACTGGTGAGATGCCAATCACTGAAGGTATGCAAGCCCATGGTGGATTTTGTGGGGATAATATGGAGATAATGAATGAGTCATGGCAATACATTTCCTTGCATGAATTCAACAAAACCAGTTTCCAATTGTGGCTCTATTAACCAAGACTTTTACTGGAATGTCATGTCTGAAAGAGACATGCCCAGACTCTGGATGTCAACAGAAAGCTTTAAGGAATAAAAACTGACTTTGAAGCCAATGTAAGGGCCTTGGAGAAATACCCTGATACCTTGCTTGGTCACATGGTTCATGGCAGTCTTTCCAGGTAAGGAACGAAGGTTGCTTTCCTGAGAGATGGCAAGGAAAGAAACTCAAGACATCATTGGGGACCTCACCCAACTCTACAGGTATTGTAGGCAAACCTGATGGCAACTAGGTGGCTCAGCTGTTTTGCCCTGAGGGGTTAATTAAAGCTCAATCATGAAATACCAGCAAAGCAGGTGGGATTTTTTTTTAAGGCCTATATGATCAATTGCTATTCTTATTGTGTTCATGCAAATGATCAGGCCAAATTGAAACTAGATTTAATACAGTAAGTAGATTGGTCTTAATTTGGCTCCTTAATAAAAATTAGGGTGGTTTTAGGGGGGAAATTGTGTTTCAGTAGACTCTATAACGCACCATTGTGAATATTAGACTCAAAGCTTTATTTTTCACCTATGAATTGAACTAGATCATGAATTTATCTCTACCTTTTACCCCAATAATACTAAAATTTATAACACAGTATGTCTCCACCAGGTTATAAACCCTACTCTCACTTAGGGAATACCACCTCTAGATACCATTGCCACCACCTTCTGTGTCCAGGCCTCATCGGCCCTCTGACAGAGAGCACATTCTAGCCTGGTTGAGAGTTGTAAGTCCTGGGACATGGGAGCTAACATTGGAATGAAGGCCATTCTCCCTTCCCAAGAACTGTCTAATATGGAAAGATTTACAACCTCGTGGCTGAAACAACCTAGTACCAGAGGTATCTGCCTTTTGCAACCCCCAACCTCTATTGCTTGTAATCTGGTCCCAGAGGTGCCTGGAGGCACCAGCCCTCTGAAAACCACCCCCCCCCCCCCCGCCCCAGTCCACATTGTCTGTAAACCTATTCACCAAAATACCCTTGGCTACTTTTCCCCATGGCTGGAAATTCCTAACCCCGCCCACCCGAATTTTTACCTCCTACTCCATATAAGCAGCTGCCTTATTGGGAAGGGAAAATAGATTATTTGGGAAAGAACCGGCGGCTTCCCA